TCACTGCAAGCTCCGCCTCCCGAGTTCCCGCCATTCTCCTGCCTCAGCCTCCTGAGTAGCTGGGACTACAGGCGCCCGCCACCGCGCCCGGCTAATTTTTTGTATTTTTAGTAGAGACGGGGTTTCACTGTGGTCTCGATCTCCTGACCTTGTGATCCGCCCGCCTCGGCCTCCCAAAGTGCTGGGATTACAGGCTTGAGCCACCGCGCCCGGCCTTCATTCAATGTTTTAAGCAAGTCCCTTCACATTGGTGTGCAACCATCACCACTATCCATCCCAACCTTTTTTTTTTTTTGATATAGAGTCTCGCTCTGTCGCTCAGGCTGGAGTGCAGTGGCGCTATCTCGGTTCACTGTAAACTCCACCTTCTGGTTTCACACCATTCTCCTGCCTCAGCCTCCCAAGTAGCTGGGACTACAGGCACCCACCACCATGCCCAGCTAATTTTTTGTATTTTTAGTAGAGACGGGGTTTCACTGTGTTAGCCGGGATGGTCTCGATCTCCTGACCTCGCGATCCACCTGCCTTGGCCTCCCAAAGTGCTGGGATTACAGGCATGAACCACCGTGCCTGGCCCTAACTTTTTTTTTTTTTTTTTTTTTTTGAGGAGTCTCACTGTTCCCCAGGTTGAAGTGCAGTGGCATGATCTTGGCTCATTGCAACCTCCGCCTCCTGGGTTCAACCGATTCTCCTGCCTCAGTCTTCTAAGTAGCTGGGATTACAGGCACCCACCACCATACCTGGCTAATTTTTGTATTTTTGGTACAGACGGGGTTTTACCATGTTGACCAGGCTGGTCTCAAACTCCTGACTCCAAGTGGTCTGCACACTTCGGCCTCCCAAAGTGCTGGGATTACAGGCACAAGCCACTGTGCTCAGCCCCATCTCACTTTTTTTTAACTTTTTTTTAACTTTTTTTTTATTATCCCAAACAAACTCTGTACGCATTAAAGTCCCTATTCCCTGCTCCCCCACCCTTGATAAACACATTCTACTTTCTGTTCCTATGATTTTGACAACGGTAGCACCCCGTAAGACTGAAATAATACAGTATTTTGCCTTTGTGTCTGGCCTTTTTCATTCAGCGTATTTTCAAATTTCAAGTACCTACCTAAAAGGAAGATGCTAAGACAAATTTAATATAAATACAGAGTAGTTTATGTGGGCCAAGCTTGAGGATTACATCCTGGACATAGATTTAAGTTGCCCTGAATTTTTTTATTTTTTTTATTTTTTTTTTTTGAGACGGAGTCTGGCTCTGTCACCCAGGCTGGAGTGCAGTGGCTGGATCTCAGCTCACTGCAAGCTCCGCCTCCCGGGTTCCCGCCATTCTCCTGCCTCAGCCTCCCGAGTAGCTGGGACTACTTTTGCTGGGACTACAGGCGCCTGCCACCTCGCCCGGCTAGTTTTTTGTATTTTTTAGTAGAGACGGGGTTTCACCGGGTTAGCCAGGATGGTCTCGATCTCCTGACCTCGTGATCCACCCGTCTCGGCCTCCCAAAGTGCTGGTATTACTTGAGCCACCGCGCCCGGCCAAGTTGCCCTGAATTTACACTTGGGTGAGCAGCAGATATAAGTGGATTTTTAAAATTTATTTTTATTATTATTATTTTTTTGAGATGGCGTCTAGCTCTGTCGCCCAGGCTGGAGTGCAGTGGTGCGATCTTGGCTCACTGCAACCTCGGCTTCCCAGGTTCACGCCATTCTGCCTCAGCCTCCCGAGTAGCTGGGACTACAGGCACCCGCCACCACGCCTGGTTAATTTTTTGTATTTTTTAGTAGAGACGGGGTTTCACCGTGTTAGCCACGATGGTCTCTATCTCCTGACCTTGTGATCCGCCTGCCTCGGCCTCCCAAAGTGCTGGGATTACAGGCGTGAGCCACTGCGCCCGGCCTTAATGTTTTTTTTAATTTTAGAGACAGGATCTTGCCATGTCATACAAGCTGCTCTCCAAGTCCTGACTGACCTCAGGTGATCCACCCACCTTGACCTCCCAAAGTGCTGGGATGACAGGCATGTGTCACTGTGCCCGGCCTGTTTTTTAATCGTTTGTAGAGATGGGGCCTTGCTATGTTGCTCAGGCTGGTCTCAAACTTCTGGCCTCAAGCAATCCTCCTGCCTTGGTGTCCCAAAGTGGCAGGATTACTGGTGTGAGCCACTGCACCCAACCTACAAGTGAATTTTTTTTTTTTTTTTTTTTTGAGACGGAGTCTCGCTCTGTCGCCTAGGCTGGAGTGCAGTGGCGCGATCTCGGCTCACTGCAACCTCCACCTCCCAGGTTCACGCCATTTTTGTGACGGGGTTTCACGGTGTTAGCCAGGATGGTCTTGATCTCCTGACTTTGTGATCCGCCCGCCTCGGTCTCCCAAAGTACTGGGATTACAGGCGTGAGCCACCGCGCCCAGACTACAAGTGGCTTTTTAAAGGCAAAAAGCGGGGACAGGAAGCAAACTGATATAATCAGGAATTCTCATTGGTTTACAGAAATGACTGATTAGTGATTGGCTATACATTATTAAACTCTAAGGTGTGGGTTATAGTGCCTAGTTTGGCATTGTTAGGTTAATTTATAGTTACTGGCAATACCAACCAGTTTCAAGAGACAAACACAAAGTGGACAGAGTGTGATTGTGGTCTCATTCTATGTTTCTGGCTGGATAATTGAAAAGGAACCATATTCCCTAGCTAAGTGTTATTTTTTCATAAGGTTCATCCATTTTGTAGCATGTGTCAGTATTTCAGGTCTTTTTTGTGTGTGTGTGAGACAGAATCCCTGTCACCCAGGCTGGAGTGTAATGGTGCAATCTTGGCTCGCTGCAACCTCTGACTCCCGGGTTCAAGCTGTTCTCTTGTCTTAGCCTCCCGAGTAGCTGGGGCTACAGGCGCCCGCCACCATGCCCAGCTAATTTTTTGTACTTTTTAGTAGAGACAGGGTTTCACCATGTTAGCCAAGATGGTCTCGATCTCCTGACCTCGTGATCCACCTGCCTTGGCCTCCCAAAGTGCTGGGATTACAGGCATGAGCCACCACGCCTGGCCTATTTTTTTTATTTTTTTGAGACGAAATCTCACTCTGTAGCCCAGGCTCGAGTGCAGTGGCCCAATCTTGGTTCACTGCAACCTCTGCCTCCCAGGTTCAAGTGATTCTCCTGCCTCAGCCTCCCGAGTACCTGGGACTACAGGCGCCCGCCACCACGCCTAGCTAATTTTTTGTATTTTTAGTAGAGATGGGGTTTCACCGTGTTAGCCGGGATGGTCTCGATCTCCTGACCTCGTGATCTGCCCGACTCAGCCTCCCAAAGTGCTGGGATTACAGAATTGAGTGACTGCGCCTGGCCTTTTGTTTTTGAGAGGGAGTCTCACTCTGTCATCCAAGCTGGAATGCAGTGCCAAGATCTCAACTCACTGCAACCTCCACCCCCTGGGTTCAAGCCATTATCATGCCTCAGCCTCCAGAGTAGCTGGGATTACAGGCGCCTGCCACCAGACCCGGGTAATTTTTGTATTTTTAGTTGACACAGGGCTTCACCATATTGGCCAGGCTGGACTTGAACTCCTGATCTCAAGTGATCCACCCACCTCAGCCTCACAAAATGTTGGGATTACTGGTGTAAGCCACAGCATCAGGCCTGTGGTTAGTTTTTAGAAAGATCCCTCCGGGCCCTACGTGGAAGGGGCTGGGGAGAATGGAAGCAGGGAGTCCTGGAAGAGACCTGCCCATCCCAGAGGGAGGGATGGTGGTAGCTGAGAAGTGGAAGGAAGAAGGAGCCACTGATACGACCTGAGTAAAGAAGCAGGCATAGCTGATGGTGTCTGTTCCCTCCCCAAGCATCTGCTCTGCTGGGCGAGAAAGCTGGTGAATGAAGCACAGGCCTGCTGGGGGGTATCATGTTGGTGGGGAAGGCAGACAGGGCAAATTTCAGGTTCTCGGCTGGCTTTGACCCTCACCAGCTACAGGGCCTCGGGCAAGCCTTGGGCAGTATCTGATCTTTTTTTTTCTTTTCTTTTTGAGACGGAGTCTTGCTCTGTTGCCCAGGCTGGAGTGCAGGGGCACCATCTCTGCTCACTACAACTTCTGCCTCCTGGGTTCACGCCATTCTTCTACCTCAGCCTCCTGAATAGCTGGGGACTACAGGCGCGCACCACCACGCCCGGCTAATTTTTGTATTTTAAGTAGAGACGGGGTTTCACCACGTTGGCCAGGCTGGTCTCAAACTCCTGACCTCGTGATCCACCTGCCTCGGCCTCCCAAACTGCTGGGATTACAGGCGTGAGCCACCGCGCCCGCTCAATATCTTCTCTCTTAAAACCTCCTTCTCCCCTGCGTGATTCAAGGAGGCAGTGCCAGGAGGCTCACTGCTTCTGACCCAGAGTGATGGCTCGAAAGGAAGGGTCTCAGCAGGTCCAGAGAGGAGGTCCTGGTAGGCTTCCCGGAGGAGGCCGTGGGGGCTGGTTTGGGAAGGGCACTGCAATTGTTCCGGCTTGTAGCAGGGGTGGGTGCGGGGCAGCCGCAAGAGTACTCCTGTCACCCCGGCCTGGGAACGCACCTGGGGCCGGGGCTGCAGCCTCGGAGCGGCCCGGGACCCCGAGAACCTCGGAAAGGGCGGGTTTCGCAGCCTTCCGGGCGGGGCAGGCTGGACGGCTCCGTCCCCGTGGACTAACAGGAAGCCGAGAGCAGCTGCGCGGGCAGCTCGGCAGATGGACGGGTCGCGTCCGCGTCTCCGGGGCTGCGACGGGCGGAGGGAAGGCGGGTCGGGGAGGAGCCGGGAGACCGCCCCCGTGGACCCCATCCCGGCGCAGGGGGCGAGTTCTGACGGGGCGGGCCCAATGGGCGGGGTCTGCAGTCCCCGCCCCCCCAGAAACGCGCCGGCGGGATCCTAGGAGCTGAGCGCGCGCTGAGCAGCCCCCGTTTGCGCGCCGCCTGGAGCGCAGGTACGCGCCGGCCCGGGCGGGCGCGGGGGGGCGCGGCGGGGGGAACGTTTGCTTTCAGGAGGGTGGGGGCCGTTCCCATCCCTGACGCCCGGGGGATCCCGAGCCTGCCTCGGGGCTGGAGCCCGCCCCCCACGCCATCTGAGCTGCCGTGCGCGGCGCACCACCCTCCCCAGTGGACCGAACTGGAAAGGGCGGGAGAGCTTTCCTCCAGGGCTCACGAATTGAGGTCCCGGCCCCAGGACCCCGAAGCTGCCCAGTGGCTCACGTCCCAGGCCCTAGCCCTTACACCGCCTTCCCTGACTTTCGGGGCGGTAGAGGAGGGTCACGGCCCTCCTGGCAAAGCCGATGTAAGTAGAAGGGGGACTCATCTCCAGAACGGGGGGACAGCCCCGATGACCTCGCAGCTCCACGGCTCCATTGGCCAGATTTCCAGGACCAGGACTGAAGCCTCACTCCCCCGGCTCTGCTGCTAATAGTGAGGTCTCCCTGCCCGGTGCTCCTGCGAGCCATGGCAGCCCCATTCTCCAACCCTCTTTCCAGTAGTGACCCAGGCCTCGGGGGTTCAGGGTGACCACAAGGTCTCCTCCACTCTACAGCCCGGGCCCAGATGGCTCAAGAGCTCCCCACTCCAGCCAGAGTCCCTGTTTCCCCAAAGAGGGGAGGGCCCACCCCAACTCCCGCTCACTTCTCCTCCTGTCTCTGTAGCTTCTCTGGGCCCTGCCTGGACAGGCCTGCCTGCGTGCTGGGACATGTCTGGCCTCCAAGGACCGTCGGTGGGCGATGGCTGCAGCGGTGGAGGGGCCAGAGCTGGAGGCAGCTGCTGCTGCAGGAGATGCTTCGGAGGATGCAGACGCAGGGTCCAGGGTGCGGCCTTTCCTGGGTGGCAACCGGCTGAGCTTGGACCTGTATCCCGGGGGCTGCCAGCGACTGCTGCACTTGTGTGTCCAGCAGCCTCTTCAGCTGCTGCAGGTGGAATTCTTGCGTCTGAGCACTCACGAGGACCCTCAGCTGCTGGAGGCCACCCTGGCCCAGCTGCCTCAGAGCCTGTCCTGCCTCCGCTCCCTGGTCCTCAAAGGTGAGCTCCACCTGTTCTGGGCCCTGTCTCCATCTCTTGCTCTGCCCTGCCTCTGCTGCACGTCCTCAAAGGCAAACCCAGGTCCCAGCCCCAGCTCCAGTCCGCCCCTCCCAGCTCCCCAGGTGTGAACTGTTCTGCTCTTGGTGCTGTCCAGCCCCATCGCCATCCTCGGCGATCACCACCCCCAATGTGAGGCTGGCTGGGCCCTGGCTCCCGGACCCCGAAGCTGCCCAGCGGGGGGTCTCTCCAGACCACAGTGCAGATGATGTTCCTGGGGAAGGTTTTGGGTGATGGTTCTCAGCTGAGATGAGCCGGTGGTCTCCATCCCTGCCTCCTTCCACCTGCAGGCACCTCTCCAGTGTTTCTGTCAGTCCCTGTCTGGTTGGGGTGGGGGTGGGGTGGGAGGTCGGTGCCTCTCGAGCAGCTGTTTTCTCTGGCTGGCAGGGTCGATCTGGGACCTGGCTCTGAGGGCCACATCCGCCTCCCCCCTTCCCAGGAGGGCAACGCCGGGACACACTGGGTGCCTGTCTCCGGGGTGCCCTGACCACCCTGCCCGCTGGTCTGAGTGGCTTGGCCCATCTGGCCCACCTGGACCTGAGCTTCAACAGCCTGGAGACGCTGCCGGCCTGTGTCCTGCGGATGCGAGGTCTGGGTGCACTCTTGCTGTCTCACAACTGTCTCTCTGAGCTGCCTGAGGCTCTGGGGGCCCTCCCCGCCCTCACCTTCCTCGCGGTGACACACAACCGCCTGCAGACGCTGCCCCCAGCACTGGGGGCCCTATCCACCCTGCAGCGCCTCGATCTCTCTCAGAACCTGCTGGATACGCTACCTCCTGAGATTGGAGGCCTGGGCAGCCTCCTGGAGCTCAACCTGGCCTCCAACCGGCTACAGAGCCTCCCGGCCTCCCTGGGTGAGTAGCTGCTGCGCCCCTGGCACACTGGCCCCACGGGAGGACCCCTGAAGCCTGCCTGTCTTCCGCAGGGGCCTCTGCACCCACAGGCTTGGTCCACAGCTGCCTCTTGGGAGTCCCTCCACCTCCCTGGCCTTTGAGACTCCCTCAGCGGCTTTGTCAGAGTTCTCTGAGCCCAGCTGTGGAGAGTCTGAAATGGCTGCTCTGGGAGGCAGTGGCAGGAGTGTCCCAGTGCTACAGGCCGGGCTGGTGCCGAGCCTAAGCCAGCACCTGCCCGCAGCGGGTCTTCGGTCCTTGCGGCTCCTTGTCCTGCACAGCAACCTCCTGGCGTCTGTGCCAGCCGGCCTGGCCCGCCTGCCACTCCTCACCCGGCTCGACCTAAGGGACAACCAGCTCCGGGACCTGCCCCCTGAGCTGCTAGACGCCCCCTTTGTGCGCCTGCAGGGGAACCCCCTGGGTGAGGCCTCACCAGACGTCCCAAGTTCACCAGGTGGGCTTGGTGTTAAAGGGGGGCAGACCTGGGAAAGGACGTGGGTCTCCTCACTGTCCTGACCACACGTCTGTCCCCTCCACAGTGGCAGCCCTCATTCCAGAAATGCCCAGACTGTTCTTGACCTCAGATTTGGACAGGTATGGGGTGGGTTGAGGGGGCTGGAGGGGAGTCTGTCTGCCTGTTGCCCCAGCCCCTCCGACACCTTCTCCAGAGTTCCTGGGTCCAGGCTCCGACACGTAGGCCCTTCTGGGTCTAACCTGTGGCTTGCTCCTTCCTCACTCAGCTTTCCTGTGACTCCTCGAGGCTGCTCAGTGACCCTGGCCTGTGGTGTCCGCCTGCAGTTCCCAGCGGGAGCCACCGCCACCCCCATCACCATCCGCTATCGGCTGCTGCTGCCAGAGCCAGGCCTCGTCCCCCTGGGTCCTCATGATGCCCTGCTCAGCCATGTGCTGGAGCTGCAGCCGCATGGGGTGGCCTTCCAGCAGGCATGGCCAGGGTGTGGCGGGGGGCAGTGTGTGGGCCCAGGCCTGGCCCCAGCCCTCACACCATCCTTGCCTGGCAGGACGTGGGGCTGTGGCTGCTCTTCACCCCACCACGGGCCCGGCGCTGCCGTGAAGTGGTGGTCAGGACCCGGAATGACAACAGCTGGGGTGACCTGGAGACCCACTTGGAGGAAGAGGCACCCCAGGTGAGGACCACTCAGGCCTGCCGGTGGCGACTGGGGAGCCGCTGCCCTGAGCCGTGCACCCCTGCGCAGAGCCTCGACCTGGCACCTTCCACCCCGCCCCGTCCTTCCTGGATCCTGCTCCCCCATATCCCGGGCACCTTCCACCCCACCCCGTCCCTCCTGGATCCTGCTCCTCCGTGTCCCCGGCACCTTCCACCCCGCCCCATCTCTCCTGGATCCTGCTCCCTGTGTCCTGACCCAGGCTCCTCTGACTTCCCTGCTCCCCCGTCTCAGCGGCTCTGGGCTCACTGCCAGGCACCCCACTTCTCCTGGTTCCTTGTGGTTTCCCGCCCTGTGTCCAATGCCTGCCTGGTGCCACCAGAGGGGACATTGCTGTGCTCCTCGGGTCATCCTGGGGTCAAGGTCATCTTCCCCCCTGGGGCCACTGAGGAACCTCGTCGAGTCTCCATGCAGGTATGGCCAGGACAGCACCAAGGGTGGCAGGCGGCGCCTCGGCCCACAGGCAGGTGCTCAGGGGCCCGTCTGCCTCAGGTGGTGCGCATGGCTGGCCGAGAACTGCAGGCCCTCCTAGGAGAACCAGAGGCTGCAGTGAGCCCCCTGCTGTGCCTCTCACAGAGCGGTCCCCCCAGCTTCCTCCGACCGGTCACCGTGCAGCTGCCTCTGCCCTCTGGCATCACAGGTGAGAGGTGGCCATGGGGCATACCTGGACCTGTGGCCGTAGGGTGGGGGGGGTCTCCAGCCAGGCAGTCTCAGCCCGCTGACCCTCCCATCCCCAGGCCTCAGTCTGGACCGCTCCCGTCTGCACCTGTTGTACTGGGCCCCTCCTGCAGTCACCTGGGATGACATCACAGCTCAGGTGGTCCTGGAGCTCACCCACCTGTACGCACGCTTCCAGGTCACACACTTCTCCTGGTCAGTGCCCCCCAGCTTTCTCAGCCCCCCTTCCCCAGTCTGTACAGCCCCCCTCACCCCCAGCCCTCCCAGGTACTGGCTCTGGTACACCACCAAGAACTGCGTGGGAGGCCTGGCTCGGAAGGCCTGGGAGCGGCTGCGGCTGCACCGTGTGAACCTCATCGCTCTGCAGCGGCGCCGGGACCCTGAGCAGGTCCTTCTGCAGTGCCTGCCCCGAAACAAGGTGAGGGCGCAGGCTGGAGGGCAGCAGGGTGGCGACCAGAGAGCTGGGGTGGGGTGCAGGGCTTTGGGTTGCAAGCTACACGGGCTTCCCTGCAGGTGGATGCCACCCTTCAGCGGCTGCTGGAGCGGTACCGGGGCCCCGAGCCCTCTGACACGGTGGAGATGTTCGAGGGCGAAGAGTTCTTTGCGGCCTTCGAGCGCGGCATCGACGTGGATGCTGGTAAGACCTCCCTGTCCTAGAGAGGGAGCCTTACCGTCTTCCCTGCGCCCTCCTTGCTCAGCCCACCCCTGCCCCCTAGACCGCCCTGACTGCGTGGAGGGCAGAATCTGCTTTGTCTTCTACTCGCACCTGAAGAATGTGAAGGAGGTATACGTGACTACCACTCTGGACCGGGAGGCCCAGGCTGTGCGGGGCCAGGTGGGTGAGGGGGGTGGGCGAGAGGAGAGGCCCCCCAGGCCACTTGGGCAGAGGACGGAGCTCTGAACCCCATTTGATGCCCCTTCAGGTGTCCTTCTACCGTGGCACGGTGCCTGTGCAGGTACCCGAGGAGGCTGAGGCTGCCCGGCAGAGGAAGGGCGCAGACGCCCTGTGGATGGCCACTCTGCCCATCAAGCTGCCGGTGGGACTGAGGGACAGCAGAGGGGCGGGGCAGAACCGAGGCCCAGGGGTGACCAGGGGGACGTGGTAGAGTTGGGGTGGAGCCCAGGGCTTATTGCACTTTTTCCTTCCAACAGAGACTTCGGAGCTCTGAGGAGCCACGGCGGAGGGCTGGCCTCTCCTTGGCGCCCTTGAACCTGGGAGATGCTGAGACCGGCTTTCTGACACAGAGCAACCTGCTGAGCGTGGCTGGGCGCCTGGGTCCAGACTGGCCAACTGTGGCCCTGCACCTGGGCGTGTCCTACCGTGAGCTGCAGCGCATCCGGCACGAGTTCCGGTGAGACTGCCACTACCCGCTGGCTGCCAGCCCCAGGGCTGAGCCCTGGCTGCCTGGAGGGCCCACCTGATGCTGACAGAAGTTTCTTCCAGGGGAGGTGGGCAAAAGGCAAACACCAGGCTGGGAAAGGAAAGATCTGGCCGCAGTTGGCCCAAGGAGCCGGGAACTCCCCCACACTCTGAGGCAGAATGTGGTGGCGGGTCCTGGGCAGGTGGGTAGGACCCCTCTGTCACCTGTCTTCTGCCTGCAGGGATGATCTGGATGGGCAGATCCGCCACATGCTCTTCTCCTGGGCTGAGCGCCAGGCTGGGCAGCCAGGGGCTGTGGGACTCCTGGTGCAGGCCCTGGAGCAGAGTGACCGGCAGGACGTGGCAGAAGAGGTGCGTGCAGTCTTGGAGCTCGGCTGCCGCAAGTACCAGGACGGCATCCGACGCACGGGTTTAGCCCCCAAGGACCCCGCTCTGCCTGGCTCGTCAGCTCCACAGCCCCCAGAGCCTGCCCAGGCCTAGGCCCCACAGACTTTGGGCTGGCCCGGACATTCCCCAGTGGATGGGCAGAGCCCCCACCTTCAAGCCTTTCCAGTGTGTGGGGACAGGGGTCCCCGTGGGCAACAAACCCGCACTGTTTCTTTCGCCATCTCAGAGCTCGATTTATTTGTTGGATGGAGAAGCCGTTGGAGGGTGGGGGTGGCGTGGTAATCAGAGGCCTGGACCCTACGGGGAGGGAGCCCTTTGTGCACAGATGCCCCACAGCCTGGTCCTGTTCTCTCCCACTGTGCCTGGGGCCTCCTGTGGGTCCTCATCTTCCTGGGGGTGAGGAGCTGTGCTACAAAGTAACCCATGTGGGGTTTTTTTTTTTTTTTTGAGATGGAATTTCTGTCACCCAGGCTGGAGTGCAGTGGCATGATCTCAGCTCACTGCAACCTCCACTTCCCAGGTTCAAGTAATTCTCCTGCTTCAACCTCTTGAGTAGCTGGGACTAGAGGCACTTGCCACCACACCGGGCTAATTTTTGTAGTTTTAGTAGACGCGGTGGGGGGGCGGTTTCACCTTGTTGGCCAGGCTGGTCTTGAACTCCTGACCTCAAGTGATCCGCCTGCCTTGGCCTCCCAAAGTGCCGGGATTGCAGGCGTGAGCCACTGTGCCCAGCCCCGAGTGGGGTGCTTTGGATACAAAGTCGCTGTTGGGCAGGCGGGGTTGTGCCTCCACTTCACTTCGCTGGCCCAGCAGTTCCACGGAGCACCTGTGTCTGCACTGGAGGCCACGCCTCCCCCAGGGCACCCTCATCCACCGGCGCTTTGCCACCTACCCGCGCCCCGCGGGTCCTTGTCCCTGCAGGGGCCTGAGGCCTGGGAACCAAGAAAGGACCTTGGGGACGCGCGGCCCGGCCTCTTCGCGCAGAACTGCCACCCTGCCGGGGTGGGGGGGGACCCGGGGCGAGGAGGCGGGTGGGCGCGTGGCTGTGGCCTGGCTGGGCGCAGTAGCCTCGGCGGCCGGGAGGGGGAGCCGAAGCCCGGAGGAGGCCGAGGGCGGAGCGCGCGCAGCGCCGAGCGGACGCGCCTCCCCGCCTAGGTGCTGGCCGAGCGCGCGGCGGGGCGGGGAGGCGAGCGCGGCGGCGGCGAGTGCGGTGAGTTCCCGGCGGTTCCCTTCTGCGCCCATCCGAGTGCGGCCGGGCTGCGGGGGCGAGAGGTCCCGCGGCGGCCGAGGAAGGTGACAGCTGCCCGAACAACGTGGCCTGGCGGGCGGGACGGGGGTCCTGGACCAGCGGATGCTCGGATCCGCGGCTGCCCTGGCGTGAGAGGCCGTGCTCGGCCCCGACGGTGCCGGGCGCGCTCCCGCACACACGTGTCCCCCAGGGTGGATGTCTGGGGCCCGAGTCCAAGGAAGAGAGACCGAGCCATGTGGGACGCACACGTGGGATTTCACCGTACATCTGTGGACATGTGCGTGGCCCGAGTCGCGGTGGCCAGGCGGAGGACGGAGCGGTCGGCCGAGCCCCAGCAGTGGGGCAGGGGCCTGAGCCGGCCTCCGAGTGCAGAGAGCGGCCACCCGCTTCTCCTTTGTCCTCTGGCCGAAGCATCGCGAGGTTGGAGACCCCTTCCGGGACCCTCCAGCCAGCAGGATAGAAAGCACCGCCCCAAGAGGACGGGGACAGCGGGAGATTGAATGGGGGAGCCGCCAGCCAGACTCGGAGCCTCACCCCCATTGCCTTTCTTGGGGGTAGGAGGAGCCTGGCGGCTTTTTGGGAGGAGGATTTTACTCCTGCAGATTCGGAAGCAGCGGTATCTTCCTGTAGTGTGGTTTCTGCTCTACTGCTCTCTCCCTGGCTTGCCTGTGGCCTCGGTCGGCCTGACTATGAGGGGGGAACAGTGACGGCTCATAGCCCTGGGCCCGGCCGGGGCTGCAGGGTTTCTATGGTAACATCAGTGCAGGGGGAGGGCCCTGGCCAGCTGTCTCATAAGCCAGGGGTGGGAACTGCCGAGTGAGGACAGAAAGGTGGGGTTGGCGTTCAGACGGAACCCCTGCTGGTTCCTCCCTATGCAGAGCCCCTCGCTGTCCTCATTCTCCACCCAGAAGCTCCTCTCCACTGCAGTGGGTGCTGTGCGGGCCCAGGCCTGCCTCTCTGCCCTGGGATCTCTAGGCCTGCTTCTCTTCCTGGGACTAATAGCCGCTCCCCACTGATTTCTAGGATTGCTCCCATCATGCAGGTGTCCTCGTCCCAGACTGGAGATAGGCTCCCAGGAGAAAGGGGATTGCTCAGTCCCTGGTGGGCCAGGGCACACCCCTGGGAGGGACTAGAGCGGAGATGAAGGGCCCAGGGCAGCCTGGAGAGCTGTGGCCAGTCTGCACCCAAATAGTGGGCGGGGGGGGGCGGGCTGCTGGGAGAGATCAGGTTGAAGTTCAGAGGTCAGCTCGTCACCACCACTGGCTGAGGCAGGGAGAGGCAGGTCTGGCGGTGAAGCCCTGAGTGGGACGGGGGTGGGGCAGAGGGCTCTGGGCATGCCAGCTCCCATGCCCTCTGGACCTGTCAGGTGAGCAGGGCCTGTGGGTGGCACCAGCGGCCTCTGAGACCCAGCCAGCCCTTCCCTGTGGACAGCAGGCCTTTTTTTGTGGCCCAGCATGAGGCTTACCTGACATGCATCTGCCCTAACAGACAGATCCCACAGACACGAGTGGGTGTCAGCCCATCACTGCCCCACAGCACCGGATTCCCTGTCCAGGTACACATAGGATACCCTGGCCCAGAGAAAGCCTCATCCTCAGAGTACCAGCCCTAGACAGATCCAGGCCAGGAAATGCTGGAGTGCTCAGCCCACAGGCAGCAGACAGGAACCCGTGTGTGCCGGGGGCGTGGTGGCCACGCGCTGAGGTCCCTGCTGGTGCGTGGTGTGTGCCAGGTCAGCCTGAGTCAGACCCGCCCCTGCTCATCCCTCCTCTCAAGGCTGCGGGAAGCCTCCACTGGCCCAAAGTGAAAGAGAAAGTAGCCCCCTGCAGGCCCGCCCCACCCCGCCCCACAGCCAATCCCTGCGGCCCCTCGTCGCCTCCCCCGGCAGCTTCCCCTCCTGTGTGAGTGCTGGGCTGGAGTGTGGAGAAGCCGTCCAGAGTGAGTGCCTGGGGCAGAGTGAGAACAGGACCAGTGGGCAGGTGGTGGAGTGGGGGTCGGTGGTGGATGGCTCAGCCCTGGAAAGCCGAGGTGAAGGTCAGGAGTCCCTGAGGATCTGTGAGTGTGAGCCAGCCGTGTGGCCCTGGGCAACGGCACTGCCCGTGCCCGAAACAGCTGGCCTCTGGGGGACCCAGGGTGAGGAGGGAAGGCCCCCGAAGCTGGGATTTTATGGCCATGACCTTATGGGAGGCCCCTGAGGCTGTGGCTCCCCAGCCCTGCCGCTTAGTGGGAGAGGTCCGTTCTCCTCTCCTCTGTAGGGGATGGGCGTGCCAGCCACAGGGGGCCTCAGAAGGCCAGCCATCCCCCACCCCCAAGGCTTCCAGGGGTCCCATCACTGGCTTCTGTGTATCCATGAGTGAAACTCCTGGGAGGGGTGGAGGGGAGGAAGGTGGGCAAGGGGCTGGCCGTGGGGGGTGCGGGCTTCTTGAGGAGGAGCTCTGCAGGCCCTGGGTGGAGCTGCTGCGGAAGGAGAGCTATACCTGGGACGGCTGAGCCCAGGTCGGCAGGGGGTCTTAGGGCGCCCGAGACCTCAGCCGCAAGCTCGAAGGGGGCAGGTGCTGGCTGCTTCTCTCTGTGCTGAAGGATGTGGGGGATGGTCACCACAGCTGTCCAGGTCAAGGTGCTCCGGTAGGCACCCTGGCACCGGCCCCTGGCACTGCCCTCAGAGGTGCCTGGCCCTTTAAAAGCCGGAGCTGGCTGGGGTGCACGTGAGCCCGAGCGTGAGCGCGCGTGTGAGGCTGGCTGGGAAGACGCTGGCGGTGGGGAGGGGGGGATTGAAAGGAAGCCAGGTGGTCCCAGGGGTGGGCATGGGACTGGGTGGCAGGTGCCTCCTGCTGCTGCACCCTCAGGACGCAGTGACGGCTCCCATCTGGGGTGGTGGGTGACAGGCTGCATGTGAGGGAGGCTGGGGGAGGATTATTCTTTGGGTGGCCCCACCCTCACTCATTCCCATCCCCTCTTCCTTCCAGGACAGAAGGGGCGGCTGCTGAAGCCTGGAAATTCCCCTGAAGGTAGAGCACCGCCCAACCCCTCTGGGTCCCAGCCTCCCTCAAGGCCTCCTCCACCTCCACCTCCACCCCACCCGGCCTGGCGTCCACCTCTTCGGCTCCTACCTGGGCACGATCCAGTTAAATGGCTGATAAGCAGATCAGGTCAGATTCCAGTCCTGGCTGCATGCCCCGCCCCCACCCTGACCCATGGTCGCAGAAACCCGTCCTGACACTCCTGTCCACACAGCCTGCCAGCCAAGCTCATCAATGGCGGCATCGCCGGGCTGATCGGGGTCACCTGCGTGTTCCCCATCGACCTGGCCAAGACCAGGCTGCAGAACCAGCAGAATGGCCAGCGCATGTACACAAGCATGTGAGTGTGCCAGGCGGTCGTGGGGAGTAGGCCCAGCATGTGGCAGCACGGGAGGCCAGGAGGGGGGCTCTGCTCCTGTGCCCCTCACCCTGTTTGACAGAAGGGAAACTGGAGGCAGGCAGGCCTGGGGGAGATCCCATGTGGGTCAGGACTGGGGTCAGAGCTGGGCTGAGGACTTGGCCTCTTATGTCAGCCCTAGACAGTCCAGGGACCCTGGCCTCTGGCTGGCCCCAGCTGGCCCCGGCTCACCCTGTCCCCTTGGCCACAGGTCCGACTGCCTCATCAAGACCATCCGCTCCGAGGGATACTTTGGGATGTACCGGGGTAAGGCTTGACTTGGCTTGGCTCGAGATGGGCAGGCCTGGATAGCGCCCGCGAGTCGTGGCAAGGAGCGGTGGGGGAGGCAGGGCAGGGCAGCCAGCCTGGGCCTGGTGTGTGAGCGTGGACGTGTCTGGGGGCGCTGTGCCTGTGCAGGGGACTGGATCTCTGGTGAGTGGCAGTTCTCAGCCCCTCCCGTGGCAACTCCCCGCCCCCGCTTAGTGCCTGGTGCGTGGGACGCCACAGTACATCTGTGTCCTCTGTGGTGGCCACAGCCGCCTCTGCTTTCTGGGACAGGCTAGACCCCATCTATGGCTGGGGATGGGAGGGAGTAGGGGGAATTACCGCAAATCAGCTTAGGACGCCATCCGGAGCCTGGATTTGGTAGAAGCTCTGCAGCCCTGAGCCCTCGGCACTGAGATGGGGGCTCTCCATAGCCTCCCCCGAACTCTGGCCCACTCCAGACCACATGCTCGGGTGACTTCTGGCCCCAGTCCCCTGCCAGCACAAGCACCCTCTGTCCCCTAGGGAGGGAGGGGTTTCCCAGGGAGGCCTCAGGGGCTCCGGGATGATCCCCATGCCCCTAGCAGCAAGATGCTGTCCAGAATCAGAGACAGATGCAGTGGGCACGGGAACGCCTGAACCAGAGGTGCTGCCCCATCCGTGCCTGGCCCCCCCCACCTGGCACACACCAGGCCCAAATGTGGGTGAGAGGGCAGGAGATGGCCAGGAGTGACTGGGATGGGGCTTTGACGGCCAGGCAGCAAGTCCTGGCTAAGCACCTCCCCACCCTGGTCACCAGCTGACCCCCTGCTCCACAGGAGCCGCTGTGAACTTGACCCTCGTCACCCCCGAGAAGGCCATCAAGCTGGCAGCCAACGACTTCTTCCGACATCAGCTATCCAAGGATGGGTGAGCTCCCTGCCTGGCAGACACTCAAGGGGTCTTGGACTCCAGACAAAGGAGGGGTCCACCCGGCCAGCTGGGTCCCACCTGGGGGCTCCACCTGTCTTCAGCCCCTTCCTTGGGGCTTCTCTGAGCTTGTGGGGTGGCCTCCCTCCTTTCCCCTGACCAGGGGAGCAGAGCAGATGCCAAATCAGTGGGGCTCTGGCCTGGCAGCCCTTGGCCCCCAGCTGCTGCCTGTGTAGTAAGCCAGGGCTTGAGGGCACTGACTGGTTCCCCCATTGCTGGAGGGGGGCTGCAAGGGCAGCCCCTTTTTAGGGCACTCGACCCCCAATTTCCCATTTTCCTTTATTGGAGACAGCCCCACTGCCCCCCCCAGGCCCTTGCCTGTGGGGCTGTCTGTCCATCGGGCTCCCCCCGCCTGCTGCTGCAGGGCCGGAGGCTGGGGGCTGTACCCCCACAGGCCTGCATCTGCCTCCACAGCTCCCACCATCCTCTGCGCCCAGGCACGGTGGGCAGCCCCGAGGGTGGCAGGTAGCCTGTCTCTTCCCACTCACCGCGGCCTTGCCTCTACCACAGGCAGAAGCTGACCCTGCTTAAAGAGATGCTGGCAGGCTGTGGGGCTGGCACCTGCCAGGTGATCGTGACCACGCCCATGGAGATGCTGAAGATCCAGCTGCAGGATGCAGGGCGCATCGGTGAGGGCGGGAGGAGGGAGGGGAGAGGGCAGAGGTGCTGGAAGGGGTGAGGGCGAGGGGAGGGCAGGGACACAGGGAGGGCCAGAGCGTGTCCCCTGCCCACTTTGCACAGAAGAAGAGAGCAGCCTCTTTGTCCGCAGCTGCCCAGAGGAAGATCCTGGCTGCCCAGGGCCAGCTCTCAGCCCAGGGGGGTGCCCAGCCCTCAGTGGAGGCTCCAGCTGCCCCTCGGCCTACGGCCACCCAGCTGACCCGTGACCTGCTGCGAAGCCGCGGCATTGCTGGTCTCTACAAGGGACTCGGGGCCACGCTGCTCAGGTAGGAGGCACAGGGTGGATGGGAGGAGGGATGGGGGAGGCCGGCCTGCCCAACCCACCACCTCCTGTCCACCACTTCCTGTCCCCATGGCCACCTCACTCCCCACAGGGACGTTCCCTTCTCCGTGGTCTACTTCCCGCTCTTTGCCAACCTGAACCAGCTGGGCCGCCCGGCGTCCGAGGAGAAGTCGCCTTTCTACGTGTCCTTCCTGGCCGGCTGTGTGGCCGGGAGTGCCGCCGCTGTGGCCGTCAACCCCTGTGATGGTCAGTGCATGGGACAGCGCCCGGCTGGGGATGGGGCGGGACTGAGCCCTTGGCCAGGCTCACACTGACCCGAGCGTCCCTTGCAGTGGTGAAGACGCGGCTCCAGTCACTTCAGCGAGGCGTCAATGAGGACACCTACTCTGGGTTCCTGGACTGTGCCAGGTGGGGAGGTCCCACAGGGGGTGGGGCCTGGGGGCCTGCATACCGGGCTGACCCTCCCCTCCTTCCTCCACAGGAAGATCCTGCGGCACGAGGGCCCCTCAGCCTTCCTGAAGGGCGCCTACTGCCGCGCGCTGGTCATCGCACCCCTTTTTGGCATCGCACAGGTGGTCTACTTCCTGGGCATCGCGGAGTCCCTGCTGGGGCTACTGCAGGACCCCCAGGCCTGAGCCCAGTGCCCGCTCCACCCCAGCCAGCCGGGCAGGGCTGGTGTGGGGCTGGAGCCAGGCAGCTAGCCCAGGACGGAGCAAGGGAAGACCCCTCCCCAGCCCTCCTGTCGGCAGGGGCAGCAGGGGACGGGGTGCAGGGTCCACATAGGTGGTGCACACGCGAGCCCCCCGGTGTGCTGCCTGCATCGTTGGGATCAATGTCTTATTTATGTAGAAAATGCAGAAATCTTTACATTCCTCAAGCTAGCCCCTGCCCCAATCCTGCCCTGGCCTGAACACCCCCAGGGACAGAGCTGGTCTCTGGGCTGGGGGCCCCCGGGCCTGGGTTGGGCAGGCTGGACCATACCCCCAGCCCACCGGTTCCAGTCTCCACGGCCGTCCTGGTCCACACAGGGACCCTGCACAAACCTATTTATTGAACCTGCTGGGCCCAAGTGGCTCTCCAGCCCTTCCGTCCTTCCCCAGCCGCTCTTGTCACCTTGGCAGGACTGGACTCTGCCTCCCTGGCCAGCCTTGCAAGAGGACCGGGGTCTCCTGCCCTCTCTGTTGAGCCAGGAATCCCAAGCGAGGGGTTGCCCCGGGGTCTGACTCTCAGGGCAAGCCCGTCACCCAGTGCGGGACTTTGTGGTGGGCCCCTCAGCTCCCACCCCAGGTTGGGGCCCAGACTGTGAGGTCTGTGTGCCTGTGTGTGTGTGTGTGTGTGTGTTGTGGGGATCTGGCTTGGCTCTTGGGGATGGGGCTGCCGGGGACTGCCCCCCTTCCCGCCGCGGCCAGGCGCTCTGTGTGCTGTGTGTGTCCCAGGCTCTGTTGACCCCGTCCAGGAACTTTAGTTACCCAGCCTGACCTCTCTTCTGAGATTGGCCAGGGAGCGGGGCAGGCAAGGGGACCAGTGTGGAGCCTGAGGGTGCCTGCCCTGCTCTGGAGGGAGGGCCAGGAGCTGCCGCCCACCCCAAGTCCTCTCAGGGCCCACCCTCCTCTTTCCGCCTTTGCATAAGGCTCCTGGGTAAGCTCCAGAGGCCCCATCCTTCCTGCCTCTGGGCATAAGGCCCCGAGCACACTTCAGAAGCCCCATTCCCCCCTGCCTCCAGGCCGAGCCCTGCTGTGAGCCGAAGCTCTCCCTGCCCCACCCTGGCCATGTGATCGTGTTGGTGACAGACCCTGATGTGCTGGTGCTGTGTCCCCAAAACCGGGGCCCTCCACGGAGGCCCCTTCCCAGCGACACTACCTGGGGCTCAGGCCCGGACCCCTCCAGTTCACGGTTGCTCCTGGGAGCTGCCCCTCCCATCACATCTGAACCTTGGAAGCTGCTGCTGCTGCTTTACAGAATTATATTTTTTTCTTTTGAAGAGTTTTAAGAAGTTGTAACTTTTTGTGTCTTGTCATGTCAGAGGATAAATAAATATTCTAAGTAGATGCTGCTGTCTGGGGGTCTGTTTGGGGGCAGGGGAGGGCAGTCCCCTCTTCCCATAACTGGCTCCCTTCAGACTGCAGGGCTATGCCTGCGCACCCACCCACCGACCAAGGGGCACCCTGGCCTGGAGGGGATGCTGGGCGGGACCCGCCTCCTGCCTCTGGCAGTCCCAGATGGGACTTGAACCCTGCAGTTGCTCTCCCTGACCCTAAGGTTCTCCCCCCCACCATCTAGGGTGGAGCTGGGTTTGCGGACCCCGCAGTTCCCGGCGGGGCGGGGCCCCGTCGCCCCTCCCCCTCCCCCTCCCCGCCCTCCTGCGCCGGGAGCAGTGCATTGTGGGAAACTCCCGAGCTCTCCGCGTTCGCAGCCGCCGTCGTCCCGTGGAGAAGCGCGCAGCCCAGGGGAGGTCGGAGGACGCGTAAGGCGGGGGGCTCCGGGCTGGCGGGGCGGGGCAGGCGCGGGGTCCTGCGGGGCGAGGAGGCGGCTCCGAGGCTTGAAGGTCACCGGGGTTGCGCGCGGGCCCCCCAGTTCTCCAGGGCGCAGCTGCTCTTGGGAGAAGGAGGCGGTGGCCGGGATGTAAGTGACACAAATAGCGAGGTTGGGGGGCAGACCACCTGCTCTTTGCAAACTTGATGCCCAGCAGCTGGGCCCCCCCCAGAGCTGCAGGGGTGAGGGGGCGGCTGGGCTTCCCGGAGAGGTCGGCAGCGGCTGGGCCTCTCCTGGAGACACCCTCATCACGCTGTGACCTTCGGGTGACCTTCAGTGTGGTCAGTGCACCTAGCGGGGGTGGGAAACGCGCCTCCCTTTCTCTGAAGGTTGGGGCATTTCTCACCCTTCCCTGGGAGAGGTAGACAGGCGGCCTCTGAGGCTTTGGGGCAAGAACCACTCAGGTTCAGGGCGGCTGGGCCCCCAGGGCTCTTCCCACCTCTGCCTGAGTCATTGAGAATCTGGGCATGGCCTTTCCCACAGCCCAGAGCCCTGTCCTCCACCCTGACTCGCCGGCCAAGAGCAGCGTGTGTCCACCCTGTTTAATGCCAGGAACCCTCTGCCCACAGAGACAGCACGGCCTTGGGCTCCTCAAGGACTCTGCCCCAGGGTTGGAGAGAGGCACGGCCTGTGCTGGGGAGGGGGCCTCAGAGGCTGGGGAGGAGCAGCCGGCCCTTGGAAGCACAGCCCCACACTGCCTTCCTGGAGAGACACCCCAGTTTTCTCAAGTCTGGTATCTCGTGGGCCCACCCACCCTGATGGCTGCCTGAGATCCCAGCTCCTGCCCCTCCCCGCCCTCCTCCACCAGGATCCTGGCCAGGTCACAGCCTCGGTGCCTCAGTGTCTGTCTCTGCAAAGCAGGAGTGCTCTCCTGAGGAGGGGATGCAGTCAGCTCTCCCACTGCGGCTCCAATCACCTCCCCTCCTTGGAGGGGAGAATGCTTTTCCTTCCGGTTCTCGGGGTCTGATCCTCACTTCCCCAGCAAGAGGCCTCCTGCCCCTGGCTGGTAGGAGGATGTGGCATTTGCATGGGCCATTTTACGGAACACCAGGGGGCCCCTAGCTCCTCCCACCTGTGCGTGGCCCTTGCCTCTGCGGCTGGAGGGGTTCCTCCGGGAGTGGTCAGGGACAGACGGAGACCAGGCTGTGAAAGAGAAGCATCAGAGGCCCACAGGAAGCCCCTGAGCTGGGGCCCCGGGGACTCCAGAGAACTGGGCAGGGACTGCCTGGGGACCAGGTGGTCGGGGCAGCACAGGGGGGACTGGGCCCACACGCAGTCTCCCTTGTGTCTCCCTCCAGGCCCATAGAATGCCCAGGAGTGACGAGCTGTCCTGAGCCCCTCTGGTGTACTCACCTGCCTGTCCCATACGCCCCGCCCACCATGGAGTCCAGAGGGAAGTCGGCCAGCAGCCCTAAGCCTGACACCAAGGCGCCCCAGGCCACCACCGAGGCCAAGGTACCCCCGGCAGCCGATGGGAAGGCCCCCTCGACCAAGCCCTCGAAGAAGGAGGCCCCGGCCGAGAAGCAGCAGCCGCCAGCGGCCCCCACCACGGTACCTGCCAAGAAGACCCCGGCCAAGGCCGACCCTGCCCTTCTCAACAACCACAGTAACCTGAAGCCGGCCCCCACGGCCCCCGCGGTCCCCAGCAGTCCTGATGCAACCCCAGAGGCCAAGGGTCCTGGGGATGGGGCGGAGGAGGACGAAGCTGCCGGTGGGGGGTCTGGGGGCCAAGGTCCCTGGTCCTGCGAGAACTTGAACCCCCTGCTGGTGGCTGGAGGTGTGGCCGTGGCAGCCATAGCCCTGATTCTCGGTGTGGCCTTCCTGGCCCGGAAAAAATAATACCTGGGGGCCAGGCGGGGGGCACGGAGTCACTTCCTGTACAGACCTGAGGAAGCCAGTGCATGCAGAGTTCACCCTTATCTACGTGTACACACGCACATTCATTACACACCTACATATGCCCCCAATACACACGCAAAGTGGAGAGGATGCCCGAGCCCACCCCTGCTGACCCAGGACTTCCCCAACCTCCAGGGCAGAAAGAGTCCAGGCTCCGGGGTCCACAGCACAGGATGCGGGGAGAAGGCACAGCTGGGGAACCTCAAGAAAGGAACAACGGACCCCATGTGTGGGCCCCCCACCCCCGGCAGCTGGGTGATCCCGGGCCCCCAGGGCTGGTCTCTGAGTGGGGGTGCTGGGATGGGTTCTGCCTGGGCCCGGCCCTCGTGGGGACATTAAAGGGCACGGTTGCTCCACTTGCCCCAGTTCTGCTCTTTGTGTACCCCTGGGGGTCTGCCTGGGCCGATGCAGTGGGACAGACCTGGGGTGGGCAGTCACCTCAGCAGAGCCTCAGTGCCACCTCCCCACACCACCCAAGCCTAGCTGGGTGGGAAGACGGAGCCTGAAGCCTGCTTGTGGAGGGGGTGCTGCCCAAGGGTTGCCTTCCCCAGCTTGTGCTCCAGGGGAGCTCCGATGCTGGTGGGGAGGCAGGATGTCGAGGGCCCCTCATAGTTGTGCCCACCCTGCCCCGCTAGACTGCCCCTCCAGCTTGCACCTGGCACCATCTGAGTCTAACCAGCGTATAAATGCAATAACAGGTAGAGTAGAACTGCTTGGCGGCGACCGTCACACACTGTCCTCAGCCCACCGTACCTGGGGAGGCCCCTTGTGCAGCCCCTCCTTAGCACATCCAGTCCCAGCGTGGTCTTTGGCGTGCAGCAGCAGGCGAGCTCCCGGAAGGTGGTGGTGGGCACTGTGAGAACGCAGCCTGCCCTCACTGGCCAGCGGCCACAGGAACCCTGGGCCTGAGTGGAGGCTGAGTCTGAAATAAACTCTGTTGTCTAAAGGCTGGGCTTGCATCCTCATCTGCATGTGGCTGGGAGACGCAGGGGCTTCCCACTGGGGAATGAGGGGTTCACGTCCACACTCCAGGCTTTCCAGGGGAGAGGTGCTGCATCCAGGACCCTCTGACGGGACCCCCTGCCACTCCTATGCCCTTATCCCGGGGGGCTCAGCCCAGAGCCACACCCAGGCCCTGCCCCATCCTCCTCCCTGGCCTTCCTGTGGGTCCTGACCCAAGGTGGACACCCGGGGGCTACAGGACCAAGGAGCAGTGTGGACATGGGGTGCGGGGAGGGCAAGCCCTGCTTCTCAGGCCGAGCTCTCCAGCCAGGCAGGGGCCCTTCCGCATCTCCCACTGCAGCGAGCCCCCACATCCTGAGCGCAGAAGAGGCTCCCCTCAACACCTCTCATTCATGGCACCCAGCCCACTCTAACCGGGTGTCCAACTGGTGGGCCTGGCCACGGGTGAGGCTGCAGCACGCGGGCCAACAGGGAGCAAGGCCTGTGGTGCCTGGGAAGGGCTCCTTTGACTTCTGTCATCCTGGCCCCTGGGTTTCACCTGACGGGTGGCTAAGGCTGGCAGCAAGAGCTCCGTGATCACCTCCTCCCTGAAGCCTTCTTCCAGCTGGTGTGGGGGGACAGCCGTGTCTTCCTCCTGCCCTTCTGGCACACTCCCTCCCCAGAGCAGCAGTCCTCGTCCATGCACCCACACTGAGGCCCAGACAGATACGGAGGGCCCACGGGGTAGAACCAGCTTAAGCTGACCCTGTTGCTGCCACCCAGGTTGCCCTGCGAAAGCCTCCCTCAACCTCCATCCATGCCGCTGCATCCTACAAGTCAAGGAGGCAGCCTACCCCTTGAGCCTGCTGACCTGAGTCCAGCGTATAGAGGAGAAGGCTCTGTGCAGACGCTGCTGACACCTCCAACTCCCAGCTCACCTGCCCCATGGGTGCCAGGCTCCCTCTCTGACTGGCCAGCAGGGCCCCTCGCCACTCTTGGCCTGCCTTCCAGTCACCCATTCTCTCCATTCAGTGGCTTGTTCTTTAAAACCAACCAGCCAACCCTGTCTGATATAGCAGGGGACTTGAAAGGGGCCGAGAGGACTGAAGATGGTCTGCCATCTTTAACCACAAGGCTTGGCGCTTTAGTGCTGACATTCCACCCACAATGCTGCCTCATTAACTTAGCGATTCTCTATTAAACGATGCTTAGATATTCCAAAACTTTTTAAACTTTAGACAGAGCAGGAATGAAAATCCTTGTAGGCCGGGCACGGTGGCTCACACCTGTAATCCCAGCACTTTGGGAGGCCAACACAGACAGATGGCTTCAGCTCAGGCGTTTGAGACCAGCCTGGCCAACATAGTGAGACCCCTGTCTCTACAATACAAATATAGCAAGGCACAGTGGCTCATGCCTGTAAGCCCAGCACTTTGGGAGGCAAAGGCGGGTGGATCACGAGGTCAGGAGTTCGAGACCAGCCTGACCAACATGGTGAAACCCTGTCTCTACTAAAAATACAAAAATTAGGTCTGGTGGCGGGCACCTATAATCCCAGCTACTCAGGAAGGTGAGGGAGGAGAATCGCTTGAACTCGGGAAGCAGAGATTGCAGTGAGCCGAGATCACACCACTGCACTCCAGCCTGGGTGAAAGAGCGAGACTCCATCTCAATA